GAAGAAACTGGAGTACTGCTACTCCCAAAATGCACCAAGTGGGGTGGATCCCTTCCGTACAACACCTTGAACGAGGTCATCTGAGAAGCTGAATGAAAAGAGGTATTGTACCAGTACTCGTCCCATGATAGCTATTTAGCCCATAGCTTGGGTGTCTCTGACACAAAGCATCTCAGATAAGTCTCCAAGCTCTGATTGACTACTTCCGTTTGACCATCCATCTGTGGGTGGTAAGCAGTACTCCTTTTCAGCACAGTCCCCTGCAGTCTGAACAATTCTTTCCAGAAATGGCTGAGGAACACTTTATCCCTATCTGATACCATCGCTTCTGACACCCCGTGTAATCTGACTATCTCCCTAATGAATGCTGACGCTACTGTCACCAATGTGTATGGATGGCGTAGAGGAATGAAGTGAGCATATTTTCTCAATTTATCCCCCACCACTAAAATCACAGTGAATCCCTCAGAGCGGGGTAGCCCATCAATGAAGTCCATAGATACCTCCTCCTAGACTCGACCTGGTAAAGCCAATGGCTGCAGTAACCCCCCTGGTGACATAGCTAGATACTTATTCCTTTGGCAAACCTCGCACCTAGATACCATCTCTTCCACATCCTTATGCATACCTTTCTAGTACAGCTCTGCCGCCAGTCTTCTGTAGGTCTTTAGCACTCATGAATGACCTCCCACTACAGTCCCATGTAACTCCTGGAGCAAATGTGGAATGTGAATTGATGTTCTGGGCAACACAAACCTCCCCTGATATAACAATCTCTCCCCCTCCAATGAGTACCCTAGATGGCTGTCCTCTTCCTTTAGTAAATATGCCCTGATCTTGCCTAGTTCATCATCCCTGGTACTCTACTCCTTTATGGCTTCCTAATCTAGCATTATTGGGACTGATACAGCCATTGTCTGGAGCACCTGGACAAGACATCTGCTGCCTTATTTTCTACCCCTGGCCTGTACTAAATCTCAAAATTATATCTCAGCAGTTTGGATAGCCACCTCTGATGCTCCTCAGTCACCATGCATTGTTCCAGCAAATATTTCAGGCTCCGTTGGTTGGTCCTGACGATGAAATGTCTTCCGAGTAAGTAGGGGCGCCACTTTTGGATGGCCAAAACGATTGCCATTAATTCCCTCTCATAGACAGATTTCAGTCGAGCTCTGGCAGTCAACACCTGATTGAAATAGGCAATGAGCCTATGACTCTGCATCGGCATTGCTCCTAATCCATATTCCGATGCATCTATCTCTACTATGAAGGCCTGAGTAAAATCCGGCAATGCTAAGACCGAGACTGTGGTTATAGCTTTCTTCAACTTCTCGAATGCTGTTGTGGTTACCTCCCCCCATAGGAACCCATCTTTCTTTAACTGCTCAGTGAGTGGCCATGCTATAGTGTTGTATCCATTCACAAATCTTCTGTAGTACCCTGTAAGCCCTAGGAATCCCCTCAACTCCTTTAGATTTTTAGGCAGTGGCCACTTTAATATGGCTTTAATCTTGGACTGATCTGCTGCTACCCCTTCCTTGGATACCACATGCCCTAAGTACTCCACACTGGCTTGTGCGAAGCAGCACTTCTTCAAGTTGGCCCTCAAATGGTGCTCCTGGAGAACCTCTAACACCTTCAAATTCCCCCAATGCTCCTTCTCTGTTCTGCTATACACTAAGATGTCATTGAATAATACTAAAACAAATCGCCTGAGATACTGTTTGAAGATCTTATTCATGAGTGCCTGGAATATGGCTGGGGCATTGGTGAGGCCAAAGGGCATCACTAGGAACTCATAGTGGCCCTCATGAGTTCTAAAAGCGGTCTTGGGCACATTTTCTTTCTTCATGCGAATCTGATGATATCCTGATTTTAAGTCGATTTTGCTGAAAATCACTGTTCCACTCAATTCATTCAATAGCTCGTCAATCACTGGTATATGAAACTTATCAATTACAGTTTCCTTGTTGAGTGCGCGGTAGTCTACACAGAACCGCCAGCTATCATCCTTCTTCTTCACCAATAGAACAGGACTAGAGAATGGGCTAGTGTTGGGCCTGATGATCTTTGCTTCTAGCATTTCTCTGATCAACTCTTCTATTTCATCTTTCTGAAACTGAGGGTAACGGTAAGGTCGTACGCTAACATGCGATACTCCCTCCCTCAATGTGATGGCAAAACCTCATAGAATTCCTGGATCAAAGGCTGTACAGAGAGGGGTATGTCTCCCCCTTCCTCCAAACTCACTCCCTCCAAACTGTGTAATTCCACCAAATAGCCTTCCCCCTACTCCTGAATTGTCTTGATTAGGGATTTGAGAGAAACCCCTGCCTTGGTCAGCCCCGCATCACCTTGAATCACCCTCTTCCTTCCTCCCTTCACCAACTCCATCCTCAGAGTACCTTAATTGATCTTGGTTTCCCCCAAGGTCTGCAACCACTTCATCCCTAGGATGACATCCGTACTCCCCAATTCTTGGATATCTTGGATCTTCAGCACCACCCCTCTACAGACTCCTCTTCCCATTTATACCTTCCTCGTGCCCATTATCACCCCATAACCTCCCGTATCTACTACCTCTATCCCCAGCAGCTCCACAATATGGGTGGAAATAAAATTGTGGGTTGCCCCACTATCAATTAACACCACAACTTCACGGTCAGCTATCTCTCCTTTCACCTTCATAGTGTGACTCGGAGTGAATCCCACTATGGAGTGAATCCCACTACGGAGTTGAGAGAGACTTATGCCACATTCAGATGTAGCTTTTCCTCCTCCACCTCAGAACCGCTCCCCCCTCCCTCTTCGTCTTCCTCGTCTTCACAAACGAGGAGAACTTGAAGAGTTCGATCATTGCACTTATGCCCTGGCATGTATTTTTCGTCACATCGGAAACACAGCCCTTTTGTTCTCTTTTCTTGCATTTCCTTTTCAGTAAGCTTCTTGAATTGTCCCCCATTTCCTCCTCTTGTTGCTTTTTTCCTTCGGAACTTCTTTCATCCCTCCTGTGGACGCTCCCTTGGAGGCTAGGTGGGTAGTCGTCCACTTCTAAGTGCCTCCTGAGCTGCTATTCCTAGCTCCCTTCTCTAGATTCTTTTGATTTTCGATCAGTTGTGCAAGCTTCATGGCCTCCCCTAGATCTCTGGGCATTAATACCTTCACTGCTGCTCTAACCTCTGCCTTTAACCCCTTCTTGAAGTTCCCCTCCAGCACAGTATCGGACAAGCGCTCTACCCTGCTGGCCAGATGCTCAAATATCTCTCGGTAGTCCGCCACAGATCCCTCCTGCACTAGGGCAAAGAACTGCTCGTAGAAGTCTCCTCCCAGGTCGGTTTGGAAATGCTCTATCAAGCTGTCCTTGAATTCTTCCCAGCTTCGGATAGGCCTCCTCTGATCTCTCCACTGGTACCAAGAGAGTGCCTTCCCTTCCAGACATAAGCCCGCTGCCGATAATTTCTCCTCCTCCGTTAAGCCGTTAACGGCAAAGTACCTCTCCACTTTGTAAATCCACCCATAGGCGTCCTCTCCTTCAAAAATGGGCATTTTTAATTTCCTAACCTTCTGATCCCCGCCATTTCCCCTTAATCCTCCATAATTTCCCCTCTCCCATGTGTCTGGGGGCCCCCATGTCTCCCGATCTTCCCTTGCTCTACCATGTCCCCATCCCCCTTCAAGATCCCCTCTCTGATCTTCAAAAACAGCCCCCCGGCATCCAGGATAACCTCCCTGATGCTCCCAACCAGCACTTCTTGGTTCCACGCCTCCATAGCCTTGCCTTTCCCCATATCTTCCTCCTCTCTCCTCCCTCTGGAAATGCTCCAGATGAGGCATTCGCCTACTCCCTTCCACGATTTCCACTTCCTCTTCCTACCGATGGATTTCAGAGTTGGTGTTTTTTGCTTCGGGCCCTTTTGCATCAGACGCCGCCGATTGAGTTTGAAACTCCAACATCTTCTTCATCATATCCCGTAGATCGGCCACTTGCCCTTCCATGGAAGAAATTCTTTCCTCCACGGTCTCCTTGATTTGATTCATCTCTCCTTCAAGCCTCTCCTCCAAAGCATCCACCTTCTTAGCCGCCATCTCCTACGGCTTGAAATTTATGAGAAGATCTCTAGATATGAAAAAAAATTTCAGCAATTTCTTCTTCGCCATTATAAATTTTAGCCCCTGAAATTTGTCAAAAACAGCCCATAATTGGTCCCAAGACTTGCTCAGATACCAATTTGATAGGAAATACTGAAAATCAAGTATTTCCTAGCCCAAATCAGTAGAAAACAGCAGCCAAACTGCTGTTTACAGCAGGAAAACAGCAGCCAACAGAGGAAAAACAAGGAAATCAGAGAGAAACTTGAGAGAAAACACTCCAAAATACTTGATATTAATGGTAGATGCAAGAAAAACAATAAAGATACAAGAGATCCTCTATTCGAGAGGAGGATCACACTCTCCCAATCTCTAGATAACAATTTAGAGCCCTCACCACAAGAGAAACCCAAGAGAACTTTCAGAAATTTCACATTCCCTAGCCCTAGCTTTTCCCCCTTAATGCATGAAATTCAAAATTAATACAAAAGGACCTAATTTCCCTTGCCGCCCCCCCTTTTGGCAAAATTGAACCGGCCCAAGTGACTGGGCCGGCTGGACCGGTCCATAGAGGACCGGTCTAACAGTATCAACCCAGTTAAATATCACTGTAAATTTTATTGTTCTTTTAACCCTTATTATAGGCATGGTCGTTGCAAAATATAATCGGAGTTCATTGTCAGTCAAATAAATTGCGTTCAATCATGAAGACAATTGCAAAGGTGCTTTTACCTCAATTTGTGTTTAGTTATCATAAATCACAAACAGAGGCGTTGATATTATCAAAGCTCCCTGCCACAAATTTCTCATAATCATGTTTGCTTCTGTACTTTGTAAATATTTAAGTGATTAATCTATCTCATGCTCCTACAATATCATCTGAACTTTCTTTAATTGTCTTTTCATATCAGAGATTGAGAGGGGAACTTGATAGGCTTTTGCTAAGGAAAATTGAAGAGCCTGGCCTTGATATGAATGTGGAAGGACGAGGAGTTGTGGATGCCGCTATGGAGTTGTTGCACAGTCAAAATATTTACAATTGACTTAATTGTCTGTCTTTAAGGAATTTTTCATAACTTGACACTCAATTTTCCAGCCGAGTAAACTCCTGTATTCGTTGGTTGAGAGAGGTATCATCTATTTAGTGAATTTGACACACAATGTATTAAAAGATTGTCATAATTTTTCGATAAATTTTATGCTAGTTGTTGACCATCTAACACAAGTCTTGACTTTCCACTTTTGTTTTTCAGGATTTGAGACCTGATAGCGTGTGCCAATCCCACGTAGTGGGGTAAAGGCTTATTTTCAAGCTGCTAGAATTTGATGTTAGTTTTTTCTTAGCTTATAAAAATCATGTTATTACAAGTTTTTTCACCATTGGAAGTACTTTTGGTGAGTACTATTAGAAAATAATAATAATGCTCTCAATGCCATTTGCTTAATGTATTAGATAAGTGCAAAGCATGTTATTTTGTGAATATTATCAAGTATTTATAGTCATATTGTTTGCCTCAGTTAGCTTTTATATTAAAGTAATTCATGTAAGTTATGCAAATGTTATGAAAGAAATTTTGGTAAAATGTTCTAATTTCTTGCAATATTTGCTACTATATTGCTTTTTGTTTAAAGTCGAGTTGATCTAAAATTTGAGAAATGTCAATCCTTTTATGTTAGATTTTTTAGTATTTGTAATTAATGTATTGTTATTTATGATTTAATTGTAATTGATGATAAGTGCTATAATTTTATCCTTACTATTTGGTTAACCAATGCCTGCATCTGATATTTCTCAAGATTTTTTTTATCTAAATTTGATGAGAATTGTTGCCCTTTATGTGCTTTTCTTCGTGAGTAAATTTGTTCTTCTCTGTTATTTTTATTATATAGGAAATGGTAAAGGTTGACCAATGAAGGCTGCGTAAGATTTTAATACATTTACGAATAAAAATAAGTCAAAACTTTCTAGAGAAGGTTTCTCACTAAATACATATCTCTATTTTGTGAATGCAAAAATCTAGAAAAATTTTTGAAAATTGGACTGGACTGAACCGGCCAGTTCAATGGTTCTCTGGTTAGTTTGATGAACTAATAAAATCGTTGAATCAGTTAATAAAACAAAGTAGAGTTAGAATATACGTAGCTCATTTTGATTTTTTGTTGGGAGTTTTGATTATCAACTAAAATATTTTGTGTTCGAATCTTACGCATGTAATGTGTGTATGAATTTGCTCAATTGGTTTAAGGCTTCGCTTGGGACGGTTTTCTTTCTGCTTCTTAAATCAGCTTCATAGTATAAATAATTTAATTTTTGTATTAGGAAGTTTGAAAAGGCAGAAAGAAAGCCGTCCCAAATGAAGCCTACATGTCCCTTCAAAAAAATAAAGTTAGGTTTCGTTTGGGATGGCTTTATTCTTGCTTAATGCGGATTTTTAGTATAAAAAATAATTTTGTTTTAACTAAGAAAGTCGTCTCAAACGAAGCCTCAGAACGGTAGCTGATAACAAAATGAAAGATGGCATGAGGAAAAAATTGCTTACGTTAATGTTTGCCATTAATGCTAGATTTTTTGTTAGGATGAAATCATTTCTTCAGCTGAATCTTCACCTATATCCTGACACAATTTGTTTCCAAGTTTATTTCATTGAAAATCATCAGTCCACATCTGAATCCTTATATATACCTCTTTTCACTGATGAAATTCATGTTTATGCTGCAGGTGGTTATGGGCAAATTATTAGGTCCGGTCACCGGACTTAAAAATAGGTCCATACATCCAATTAAACTTGCCACGATACCTGTGCTTGACTATGTTTTAGGTACGCTTTGACTGCACTTTACATGCGCTTTGACTGTGCTTTACCTACACTTTACATGTGCTTTACCTACGCTTTTGACGTGTTTAACTTAAAATAATATTTTATTAGCATTCGGACCTATCTCTAGGTCCGGTAACCGAACCTAATAATTTGCTGGTGGTTATGTACATTAGTTTTTCTTATTATTTATATGATTTTCTTTCTTATGAATAAATATGCTTAAATTCATATACATATTAGTCTTTCATGTTGAATTGTTAATGATTCTCCAGGAAGGGATACTACAGACCAATCTCAAACACCTAGAATTCAGTTTTGTTTGACATAATTTTTTTACTTTACTTTTTTTTTTAAATAATGTTTTAGCATAAAAATTCTTAGTTCAAAATAAATTTTACACTAAAAATTTATTTTAGAAAGCAATAAGAAAGTTATTTGAAAGGCTTCTCTTGGTATAGCTTTTTTATTGTTTTCTAAAATAATTTTTTAGTATAAAAATTTTTAATTTAGAAGATTTTTGTACTGAAAGATTATGTTTGATAACATTTTCCAAGCAAATCAGTATATGATATTTTATACCATTTACTTCAACTTTGGAGCTGCACTTTTATATCATAAAAATGTAGTGTCATTTATCTTGTTATTTGAAATATTTACTTCAACAGAGCCCTACATTGGGTACCCATATCTACCTTCACCCATGTACCCATCTATACCCATTGGGTATGGGTGGGTATGGGTACGCCCATGATCTTGTGGGTGAGTACTCAACATCCGGGGATAAATCAATTTTCATTGCTAATAAGCGTATATCTTGTATTACTGCAATCTTCACTACGTAGTGTGCAGCATATAATCATATTGCGACTATGGTAAATAATGATATGCGGCTTGAAAGTTTGTAATCAGAGCAAATGGCAACAAGCCTCAAGGCTATCACTCTGTGACAGATTGTGTTCAAAAAATATGGAAAGTGGGTGGGTTGAGTAAAGCATAGGTGCCCAATGGGTATCCAATCAGGACCCCATGTAGGGCTTTGATGGCAAAGAGTCAATTTGATATATATTTATCACGTTTTGTACATGTTTCTTATTGCTTTTTTAAAGTAATTTTTTAGTATAATTTTTTTTAATGCTAGAAAGCTGTTTTAGAAATAGTAAGAAAAATATCTCAATTGAAGCTTTGACATTGTTTGGGATAACTTTGTTACTGCTTTCTAAAATATTTTTTTAATATAAAAATTTAACATTTTAAATATTTTTATTCTAAAAATTTATTTTAGAAAGAAAGTAGTAAAAAAAACTTTCCAAAGAAATTTTTAGATTTTATTTGGGACGGTTTTTATGTTGCTTCTTAAAATAGTTTTGTAGTATAAAAAATTTTAATTTTTGTATTAAAAAGTTACTTCATGAAGCAATAAAAAATCCATTTCAAAGAAAGCCTAAGGCTTCCTTTGAGATGACTTTTTGTTACTTTTTAAAAAAGAATTTTAGTACAAAAATTTTAAAATTATGTTTTAAGATGTAATAAAAAAATCAAGGGTTTTTTTATAATTTCTCTTTTGGATAGTTTTGAGGTGTAAGGTAATTTTAGTGTGTTTTAACAAATTAATGTTATGGCATCTAAAAAAAAAATCTTAGAAGTTTCAATACATATCATCAAAATAAATCATATTTATAAATTTACAAATCATTAAAAAATAAACTAAAAATTTTATATGTTTGTTGGGTATTTAATCAGATTAAAAACATTTAAAATTTTATTATGAATTTTAATATTTTAATGAGAATTTTTGGAATAAAAATAGGAGAATGCTAATTTTAAAAGAAAATAAAATTTAAAGTGTTAATTATGTTGACTTTCGAGCTTCATATGATGAGCAAAAATGACCAAATGCTTTTTAATGTCGCACTAAAAAAAAATGTGTCGAGTACTGATTCTTTTTAAATAATATTATGTCTGAATATCGTCACACAAAATATATTATGTGCCTAAAATTTTTAAATTTGTATATTTAAAAAATAGGATAGTTATAAATCACCTAACCATCCTAATATGTTTTACATCATAATATTATTTCACCGCAATCTATAGGACTGCAAGTGAATCAAACGTTAGACGAGATATTCCTTGCTCGGTTTGATTAAAATTCATTTGTGATCGTTTAACTAACTAAACGAACAACTTGAACAACATTTTTAAGACTCGATCCTTAAATAAACAAGCTTGAACACTAATGTGTTCGGTTCATTTATGTTCACAAGTAACATCATTTGTAGCTCGTGAACAAGGTCAATAAGAAGCTCGATTCGTGTTCGATTTAAAACTCGTGAATAAGTTCGATAAATATATTAATATAGATTAATAATATTTTCATTTTAAATAAACATTTGCTTTTATTAGAAATTTTATTTCAATTTATTTTATACTTTCAATAGAATGAATTTATTCATGAACAATAGACATTTCACATTTATCAATGTTTGCTAGATTGTTTGTTTAAGATGTTCATGAACAAATATAAAATGAATCATAAATCCTTTGTTTGTGAACGAGCTTATTTGGTAGTTTGGAAATACTAGGTATGTATATATTCATGATTCTGCTCATTTGACAGTTCAATAATAATCATTAGATTTGTTCATGAACGTCCTTGTTTGCCACTGTAAAAAATTTGCTCAATATGCTCACGAACATAGCTTGTTGAAGCTTGTTTGTTTAAAGCTCAATAAACACTAAACAAACTGAGCATGAGCCAAATATGAACATCATTAATTTAAACAAACCAAACATGAATACAAACAATAAAGCTTAAATCAAACACGAATTGAATTTGAATAAGCTAAGAAATTGATAATTTTATTTCATATATCACATAAAAATCAGTAGACAACATAACTGTAGCATCTTCAAAGATATTAGCATGATGCATTGATCAAAGTCTCATAGAGGATCTTCATCAGATTGCTCCATTTTCATGTCAATATTTGCTCAAATAATCTGAAATTCCTTTGGCGATGCAGTACGCAGTAGTCTGTATGGTGATCATCGGATTCACTCCCACCGCAGTAGGAAGAAGACTCCCATCACAGACGAAGAGGCCCTCCGCCTCCCAACTCTCCCCTCTCTCATCAACTCCACCCTCTTCTTCACTCACTCCCATCCTGCAGCTCCCCATTTGATGCGCAGAGCAGTACATTGTCCACATCTCTGCTTTAGATTGTGGTCCTTCGTTCGCACATACATCATCCAAGAACTCCTGAAGCTCTTCCTCACTGATCCCTGAACACTTCAATCTTTGTCCGTCGCTCCGATGCGTCCCGACCTCCACCGCGCCTGCGGCGACCAGAATCCTCAACGCCTTCCTCAAACCTACTGTTATCTCCTCCTTGTCGCGAGGATCGAACCGATACTTAATCCTCCCTTCCTCCTGCACGGTTCCCGAACCTCGGTCTCGCACGAGAGCAAACAGGTGGGCCGTGCGGCCGTACTTCACCATTCTCTCCTTCATGTCAAGGCCGGAGATCCATGGGACAAGTGTAGAGAAGGCGGACGGGCCCATTGCCGGAGTTTCGATGATCACCCTACTACCCTTTGTCTTGTGCATGGATGTGATGATGCCTCCGTCAAACTTCTTTCCTTTGAGGTCGTGAACTGATTCCGGAAAATAACCCCAAACTAAGCCAACTGGATGAAGATGTAGATTCTTTCCTATGTTAGGGTTCTGAAGCCCGCTTGCAATCATAAGAGGAGGCGTTTGGAGAGACCCGCAAGCCGAAACTGCCACCTTGGCTTGGATTCTGATACTATTGATGATATTCTTGCTTGAAGATCTGGCTATCAGTCCCAAACATTTGTTCTTCTTCTTACTCTCAGCTGACTTATTATTTTCAAATATAAATTTCTCAGCTTTGCAACCAGTTAATATCACGGCACCATTGTTCACAGAATCAACAAGCCACGTCGTATCAGTTCCACGCTTGTCGCCGCTGTTGCATCCATAGCCGCAAGTACCACAAAAGTGACTGTCCGATGAATTTCGAGCCACATAATCCACCTCAAGGCCAAGCTTTTGACATCCTTTTCGAAGAACTTTGTTCTGAAATCCTTCTTCTGTGCAATTCTCAGTAATTCCAATTCTTTCACAGACTTTGTTCATTGCTGAGTGGTAGTCCGGACTCTGAAAGATGGGTAATTTGTGTTCTTGCGCCCATTCATTGAGGACATGATCTGGTGTCTTGATGCAGGCTGACCAGTTTACAGCTGAGCCTCCTCCAACAGTTGAGCCAGATAAAATCATTATATTCGTATTGAGAGTCGCAAGAGTTCCTCCAGATTCATACATTTGATCCATAGAAGGGGCTTCTAAATTGGTGTAGTCTTCAGAAGTGAAGTAGTTGCCTTTCTCGACGACAATAACTTTGTAGCCCGAGGTAGCCAGAACGGCGGCAGCAACTCCGCCACCACAGCCAGAGCCGACGATGACTGCATCACATTTTACTACATGTTGTTTTTGGAGAGGGTCAGTTACCACTTCTAAGCCCTTTTCAGTGAGAGAAGTGATTAACGTTGAATCATTAAGATATGCAGTTTCTACAATTCCCTTATCAAGAGGTCTTTCTTTTTGTGACTTTTGCGGTTTTTCATCAACCGAGGTGCTGTATCCAATTGCTTTCCATGATGGATTCTCTGAATCTTCATTAGTCTAAAGATATTGAGAGGACAAACATAAGAAGAACAATTTTTCAGAAGTTTTGGAACAAATCAACAAACTTTAATTTTCCTATGAACTAAAGAAATAACTATGTTTTAATTATCAGATAAGTAGATTTCCATTTATATTGGCTTAACATTGTAGAAGACAGACCATACATTGACAGGAGCTTCATGCAAGGTATTTTTCTTTTTTAATTTGCTCAGCATTTGTAATTATCAATTTACATGCAAGTCATCATAGTATATAATTTTGAATATCAATTGTACAAAACATGCAACATTGGTTTAGGTTGCGCATAACATTAAAATATCAGTAGATCAAACAAATGATAAAAACCCATTTACATAATGTCATTCAAACATATTTGAAATTTTCTTTTAGTTTTTTCAATAAGCAAGTCATCTTATAGAATTTTCCTTTAAGTTTGAGGGGGACTTTTCTATCACAATATAAGCTCAATGCATTCCTCCAGTTCAACCATTCAACTTTAATTCTGCTAATAATATCCACATCTATTTCACCATCACTCTGAATAATAGACCCAAGATATCTAAAATGTGTGATCTTAGTAATGACTTGATTGCTCAAAATCACAATTTCCCCACTAGATCTATTACTATTAAAATTATACTTCATATATTCAGTTTTAGATCTACTCAAACAAAACCTTTAGCTCTAAGGTTGACCTCCATAATTCAAGTATACCTTCAGCTCCCTCTCTAGTCTTTTCAACAAGAAAAATATCTTCAGCAAAAAACATACACTAGGGTACAACCTCTTGCAAATGTCTAGCAGTGGCGGAACCACTTTAGGCTTAGGGGGGGGGGGGGGGGGGGGAATTGGGGGGGGGCACCCCCCCCCCCCCTAAAAAAACCCTTCTAAAAAATGACTTTTGCCCATCCTAAAAAATTCTTTTGTCCTAACTTATCCTAAAATGTCTATATATTTCTTCAAATTTAGTTCTAATATTTTATTTCATGTTTTTCATGATAATTTAATTACACTTTTTTTTCTTGCTTAATTTTTTTAAATAACTTATATATTGTACTTGCCCCCCCTCAAAATTGAAGCTGGTTCCGCCCCTAATGTCTAGTGATAACATCTATGACTAAAGCAAAAAGATATGAGCTTAAGGCTGATCCTTAATGTAATCCAATAGAATTAGGAAAATACTTGGTAAAACCACCTTGTATTTGAACACAAGTAACAGCTCCTACATACATATCCTTAATGATTTGAATATAGTTATTAACATCTTTCTTTTCTAGAGTTCTCCATAGCATTTCTCATATGCTTTCTCTAAATCAATTAATATCGTATGAAGATCCTCCTTATTCTCTCTATACTTCTCCATCAAACCTCTTAATAAATGTATAGCTTCCATAGTACACCTACCCAATATGAATTCAAATTTATTTTGAGAAACATTAGTATCACGTCGTAACATATGCTTCATAACTCTCCCATAGTTTTAAAGTATGGCACATTAATTTAATTCATCTATAATTCGCACAATCTTGTGCATCACCTTTATTCTTAAAAATAGGAATCACCACACTTATTCTCCACTCATTTGGCATCTTTTTTGTCTTCAAAATAATATTAAAAAATTTAGTAAGCTAAGAAATTCCTTCATCTTCTAAGCATTTCCACACCTCTATTGGAATATCATAAGGTCCAACAGGACTTTCCACACTTCATTTTTTTTAAAGTATCTCTAATCTTAGTTTTACTAATACACTGATAAAAACAATTTTTTTTTTTTAATTCCGAAGTATATAATTTTTTAGTTTTTTATTAATCATGTTTTCTTAGTAGTCTATTTTGATTTCTTTTCTATTATTTGTCTTGAGAGGCTTGGGGTATCTTTTGTTCTTTTTTTTTTCTTGTATCAGGGTGTTCTTGGGTTATGGGAAGAGCAGCTCAGTGTCCTTTATTGAACATCATGATTGTGATTTCTTTTTTACTGGATGAAATCCTCTCTCTTCTCCTATAGATTTACTAACTTAAATCGACATTATAAATTTTCATATTATCTTATTGTTCTGTTTAATCTCTTTTGCGGCTACTTCAGAGTTTAATATATGAGTTGATGTTTCCCTCTCATAAAATTTATTATACGCTATTTTTAACATAGATCTCAATTGAAGTATCAATACATGTGTCATTTCTAGAGATACAAAATCTAAAGGAAAAATTACCATAGAGTAGAATATGTAGTTGCAAAATAACTTCACCATCAGAAATACCATCCTCAAAGGTATGTAAACTCTCTCCCTGCTCCATTTGTTGAGGACCTCTTCCCTCTTTTCTATCGTCATATCTGAGAATTTGTTGATGAAGGGGAATCTTTGGCAAAAACTCGAAGAACCGCAAAGTAGAAGTGTACCAAGCCTGAATGCCAATATCCAAAGAACAACTCTAATTAGAAGAGCAGCCTCCTTCTGGCTTCTCTGCAGCATGAGGTCTGCAACCTGTTCAAGAAGAGTGACAAATAATATGGAAACGTTGATGAAATGCAAGAAATCAGAGTACATGGAATTTTTTTTTTAAACACGAATATATTAGAATTGAAAAAGAAAGATACACGGAGAGATACAAGCTTGTGGGGGAAAAACTTCACTCTTGAGAGACAAAAGGGGAGGGAAAGAACTAGAAAAGCACCCCAAAATAAGCCGCAACCGGAAACAAAAAGAAAGAAACCCCTCAAGTGAGGAGGACCCCTTTATTGATTTGTATTACGCAAAAAAACCCAATACAAAATAAAGAAAAAAGGTCACTCATTAAGCACTTGAGGGGAAAGTCCCCGCTTGTGAAATCTGTAGAAATCTTCTTCCTCTTCCTCGGGGAGGTGGGCAAAGCACTTAAAGGTCCAAGTCGGTGGAGCTCTCTGTCTAAACGAGATTTGAAGCCTTTTGGTATGGATGATTGATTTAAACAGTATATTCTAACCAGATTTTTGGATTTAAGAGAAGAGAAGCTAAACTAAAGGGCAAGTGTATCTTCATCAAATAGCAGTATTCATTAAAGAAAACATGAATATAGCAAAGACAAAGAACTGGGGATTAGTGTAAGATAATTCAGATTAAAGAAAAACAAAAAAATCATCATCATCATTGCTTTATCCTAACTATTGGGGTAATTTTAATATTTCGAAGTTAGTGATAGAACTGCTGAATAGCTTTTTATTAGTGGCTCCCTAACGAATATTTATCTGAGAAAAGAAGCAAAAGCCTAACAAAGAACACTCAAAAAATTAAGGAAGAGGGTCCCCTCACATACATAATGATCGAAAGGAATTTAAGTTTGTACTTTCATCCTCAGCAAAATTTGCATTAAAAGTCATCTTTTCCTTGTATGGTACAATAATTACTTCAAATATCTCAATATCCTTTCTACAGTACTGTGGTAAAATAGCATAAAATCAAGTAAAAAATTTAAATAATAATCAAAGGAAACTAAGTTTCTACTTTATATCTCTCCAACATAAAAAAAAACACACATTTTTCTCTGAATAGAGCGAAAATCCCTTCAAATATCTCAGCTTCATCTCAATTTTCTTCCCCAGAGTACAGAAAGATTATTTCTTTAATCAAAATAGGGGAAATTTCATAAGTTGAAACAAGAAAGATCGAAGTAACACAGATTCAAAGCAGTAGCTAAACAAACAAGAACTAAAACAACAAAACAGAAAAATCAGATCAGAAAAGAGAAGAGAAGATCAAACTAGCCTCATCTGGAATAGGGTATTGAGACCCAGAAGCCATAAAGAAGTCTCTAAGATCCTTGCTTGGTGGGTCCTCCTTGCCATTGCTCAGGTTGACTTCCTCTAAGTAAAGAGAAGGAATAAAAGCCTCGCACATGGCAGTGAGGACTTTCATCTGAGAAGAAGAGAAGCCATGGCTGTACCTTTCCTTCTTCCTCCCACCTCTCAGAAGAGGATGACCCTGCTTGCTTTCCTTCTTCTGTTCTTCCATCTCGACCTCAGAACGAAAAAAGAGGCTCTTTGAGCTTTTTTATAAGCTCCCCGTGGAATGGTTGGAAGTAGTAAAGCCGGCATTGCATTTTTCTTTTCTGCTACAAGCCTACAACTAACGATCGAGGGTTTTGCATATTGGCACAATCACTTGTGTTATTTACGTATTTGGTAAAAGTAATAAAATTTAATTTACATTTATATCAGACAGGGTATTTTTAAAAAATGAGCTGGATTAATATGACAATCTAAAAAAGTATATATATATATATATTTTTAAATTAAAAAAGCTAGTTATTACATTCTTACAAAATTTTTAAATATATATATATATATATATAGTCACACTCACACACACACTCTCTTTATTAAATTTAAATGAGATTTTGACTCTTAACATGACACAATAGTAAAAAACTATTTATGTAGTCGACCCCACGTAGTGTAATAAAAGCTTCATATTATTGTTATTGTAGAAAAAATTTTATGTAGGTCATAATAATGATTTATCAATATTTGATGAAATTAAGGCGCTTGCTTGGAATCCTAGTAGAATTGCATGAAGGTATAAAGTATTCTATATTAATGGATATATTTTTCACACATAAGCTCATGATGATAATAAGAAAATTCAAAATTATGGTATTGTTAACACTACAGATATTGTATATTTTAATTATTTTGGCTGAATAAATAATATTATTGAGATCAATTATTCTAAATTATTTTGAGTCGTGTTATTCAAATGTTATTAGGTTGATAGTGTTATTGGTATAAAACTTGATCAACTTTAATATAATTTAGTTGTCTTATATTTGATTCATACTAGAAAAAAGTTATAATATGATAGTTTATTTTCTCTTCACAAATGGAGATTATTGTATACATTCAAGATCTTAGAGTGAAGTCCCTAGGAGTAGTGCAATGCAACACCCAACAACTAGCGTCGTGACAAGGTTCTTGACTCTGTCTTCTCTCCCTCCTCTATCTTCCTCCATTAGCTCTCGAGCCCTCCAACCCCCCTTCAAAAACAATCACGCGATCCCTTCTTCCCCCTCAAATCAGCCAACTGAACCTTCCCCCTCTTCCAAACAGCTGGCCGAAATTCCTTGTTTCCCCATACAATCGAACCACCTCCCCTCTCTTCCATTCCCACTCACCTGCTAGCCCACCCTTCCTCTCCTTCCATGGCCGACCAACCCAACTTTTTTGCCTCTTGGTATTCCCTCCTCCTTTTCCTCTTCCCATTTATTTCCCCAAGGGCTGATGTCTATTCTTATTCCCCTCTCTATTAGCTCCACTTTAATAGTTTAATTATTGCATTTTTTTCTCCTTCCCCATTAATTCCTAATTGTTGTTGTCTTTTCCCCTTCCCCATTAATTCCTAATGGCTCCTGCCATTTTGTATCCCCCCATTAAATCCTAATGGCTGTTGTCTTTTCTCATTCCCTCCATGAATTCTTACACTAATTGCTAACCCTTCATCTTCCCCACTGATTCCTAATAGCTACCACCTTCCCCTTATCCATTAAATCCCTAATGGTTATTTCCCCTCCCCCCCATTAACTCCCTACTAGCTCCTGCTATTTCCTCTTTTCCCCATTAATTCCTCATACTCACGACGAGCAGAAGTCTGGCAACGAGTAGAGATTCACCGTCGGGTAGAAGTCCGATGAAAGTTTGGTGACGTGTGGAGATTCAGCATCGGGTAGAAGTAGGAGGAAAGTCTGGTGACGGGTGAAGTTGTTATCCATTTACTTTCTTGCTATTTGTCATGCATTGCTTGTGATCTTCCAAAACTCTCTAAAGCTTGGATTTCCTTCTTCTATAGAATCTGCCTCTACTAATTTTTGCCCTGATACATCATAAAAAATTTTATTAATCGGGCATGAATCTCAAGGCAAAATCAAGTTAGAAACTTCCAAAATTAAAATTGGGACCATCCGAACTCCAATTTTAACAAACTTATAGTCAAACTGAATGTCTCAAAAATACAAACCCAACGACACCAAATTCAAGTCAATATGAGTCCAAATAGGTTCAAATCAATGACCAATAGCACTGTTGGAAGGTTGAAACCACAATTTGGATTGCCAAATGATTTCCAAATGTGACATGCTTATATTACAAACAAATCTAACACCTCGACGAGACAAATTCAACGAGCCCAAAATCGCAAAATTATGATATCAATAAGACATTAAAAGGCCTAGTAAATGGACCACATCAAGGGATTCAACATTGGTCGTTCATCCAAATCACTCCCAACTTATCCTTGATCTTCCATCTTTTTACAAGCCATGCCTCTCTAAAAAATCTATAAATAGGACCTCTACTTCTCATGAAAAGGGGACCTCAAGCAAGAAATCAAGAGAGAGATCAGAGATCGTTCTTTCCTCCTCACTCCTCCTTGACCACTACCTGGACTTCTGCCATACCACCGCACGACGCCAAAGTTCTGTCATACCACCACCTGACATAAGAGTTCTGCAGGGCCATTACCTAACACCAGACTTCTATAAGGACCACCGCTTGACTCCACACTTCCGCCGGACCACCGCCTAACATCGGACTTCCGTCAAGACCACTACCTTCACCGGAGTTCTACTGAACCAACACCAGACGCCGAAGTTCCACCGGACCACCGCCTAACACCGAAATTCCATGAGGACCATCTTCTGACACCAAAAATTTCATCAGGACCACTGCTTAATGTTGGACTTCTGTCGTACCCCTGCCTGACACTGAAGTTCTGCCATACCACAACCTTACGCAGGAGTTCCGCCGGACCACCGCCTGACGCTGGACTTCCGTCAGGACCACCGCTTGATGCATGACTTCTATCGTACCACTGTCTGACACTTGAATTCTATCAGGACCACCGCCTGATGCAGAACTTCCGTCGGACCACCGTCCAACGCAGGAGTTCTACCAGACCACCGCATGATGCTAAACTTCCGTCAGGACCAACTTCGGATGCCAGAGTTCCGCCGCACCATCGTCTGACATTGGAGTTCTGACGGACCACCGCCTAATAGCGGAGTTCTGCTAGACCACTGTATAACACTGGAGTTCCACCAGACCACCGCCTGACTCTGGAGTTCTGCCAAACCATCGTCAGACCTCTCTTGATGAAGGACTTCTGCTAGACCACCGCCCGACATCGGAGTTTTACCAGACCTCCACCTGACGTAGGAGTTTCGCCGGACCACCGCCTGACACTGGACTACCGTTAAGACCAGTGCCTACACTAGACTTCTACTGGACCACTTCCCAACATCGAAGTTTCTCCAGACCACTACTTGACACCAGACCTCCGTTAGGACCACCGCCTGGTGTAAGACTTCTTCCGCACCACCGCCCGACGCTGGAGTTCTGCCGGACCACCGCTTGGCACCGAACTTCCATCAGGACCACCACCAAATGAATGACTTTTGTCAGACCATCTCTCAATGTCATAGTTCGATCATAGCACCACCTAATGCTAGATTTTGCCAAATCACCTCCTGACACTGGTTTTCTTCCAAACCACCGTTGGACCACCAACTAAGGCCTAAACTTTTGCCAGACCACCGATAGAAGTCAGAGTTCCACCAGACCACCGCCTTATAATAACGGTCTTTCTAACCCCTATCTCTTGCCGACTATTGTCATGACCCAACCCGACCGGGACGGATCCCGCTCGCATCAGGTTGTGGCCAAACTCAAACTGACTGAACTGATTCCAGGATCTGGCTTTGGAATTTGGTTCAGAACTTTCTTCCAAACATTACACACAGAAACAGACACACAGAGCTACTAAACATCAAAATACAGCGGAACCAATCATCTATCTTGTTCATATACAAATATAGCTCATGGCTTTCAGACAAAAAGAAAAAATAGAGCAGAAAAGTCATTACTGTACAAAAAAATCAAAAGTACAAAATACCTATAATAGATCAGACTCTGAACTCCTAGTCCAAGACTTCCTTCCCTTTCCCAGAACCTGAAAACCACGTAGAAAATAAGGATGAGCTACAACAGCTTAGCAAAACATCAAACCTCCAATCCAAATCCTCAGAGTCCACATCAAACACATCGGACAGAAATCCATACAAAATCAGAATACAGAACTGACAGAGAAAAATAGAACGAATCAAATCATAACA